CACATGGACACAGGGAGGGGAGCACTACACACTGGGGTCAGTTGGAGGGAAATAGGGGAGGGACGGTGGGGGGTGGGGAGCTGGGGAGAGATAGCAAGGGGAGAGATGCCAGATGTAGGTGATGGGGAGGAAGGCAGCAAATCACACTGCCACGTGTGTACCTATGCAACAATCTTGCATGTTCTTCACATGTACCCCAAAACCTAAAATGCAAATAAAATAAATAAATGGAGAAAAAAGATAAATAAAAATAAAAAATTTTATTAAAAAAGATAGGAGGCAGGAAGGCTGGCTTGGAAGGTTGTGGCAAGTACAGCATGGAGTGATGGCGACTTTAACTGAGGAAATGCCAGTAGGAGAGTGAACGTGCCTGTTAAGAGATAGAATCAACATAATAGGGTTCGAATCCATACTGGGTTTGAATTTGAGTTCCAACATCAACTTGAAATATGTGACCATGAGTAAATCACTAAATAATCCCATTAAAAAAAAAAAAAAGATAATACAAAAGAGTTCCAAAGAGATGACTTCCTATCTCATTTTAGAATTAAATGAGAAAATATAATATCTCCATTATTGTGCCAGTTTTAAAATACAGCTCCAAATTCTTGAACAAAAGTGGGGTCTATGGCCACTCCCATTACATCTGGGCACTGTGACTGCTTAACAACGGAATAAAATGGAAGTCACACTGCGCCAGTTTCCAGGCCCGGGATTGGAAACCATCAGCTTCCTCTTCCTGCTTCTTGAAACCCAGTCCCAATAGCGTGAGGAAGCCTATGCAGCCAGTGGAAAGGCCTAGGTGGAGAGGAACCAAGTCCCTCAGCCCTCAGCTCTGGCCAAGCTTCCACCGACAGCCAGCGCCAGCATGCCAGCAGGTGAATAAGCTGTCTGAGAAATAAATCATTCAGCCCCCAGTTGAGCTGGCCAAGCTGACACCAGCCTTTCCTGCTGAGCCCTCCCCAAACTAAAAATCTGTGAGCTAAATAACTGATTGTTGTCGTTACTTTAAACCACTAAGTGTTAGGCTGCTTGGTTATGCAGTAACATAAATATAGCAATTACATCCTAGTTGTGTAACTTGGGCAAATTATTTACTATTTCTGACCCTTTGGAGAAAAAGAAATAGTGTTTTGCTACAGTCACAAATTCCTGAACTGGAATTTGGATCCAAGTCTGCCAAGGTCTAAAGCCCTTGCCCTTTCCCCTATAAATAATTAAGCAAGTTCTTTCTGGCTTCGGCATTCCCGGCATTGAAAGCATGTAGAGATACAGAATCAGAAATAAACAAGTTCAAAGTCTTTCAGATTTCTGCGTGCGTCTTCACCATGCCTAACATCCCCACAGTGGGTAGTCTGTAAACACTGGCTTCCTCTCACATAATTGCATTGCAGCCCAAGACATGCTTCTGCTGGCCAAAGGAAATTTCAGGACGCAATTCCCACCCATTTATCTCATTTGCAACCTCGCTTACAATGTAGCAGCCTCCAAACAATGATCACTCTTCTCAGTGGAGATACTGCACACAGATGCTGCAGAAGTTTGACTTCACTTAATGTGCTAGACAGTTTCATAGTCAAATTCTCTGAAAAATTCATTATTTGAATTTTCTCTGGAGAGAATGAGATTTTAAAGCCAAACAGCTCTGGGATCAAGCCCTGGGTCTGCAATCTACTAGCCTGGTTGTGTTATCTATAAATTCTTACTATTCTTTCTGAATCTTATCTGTCCTTTTAGCTGTGAATCAAGTATAATAGTGTTGTCTTCACTAGGAAGCCTTTTTCCTTACCTCATTCCTCCCAACTTGTATGCATGTCAAGCAAACAAATGCACAGGGTACCTGCTCTGACCTAGGAACCATGGTGGAGGGTACAGTTGCCCCTAGTATTACCCCAGGGCCTGGTACAGAGCAGGTACCCCAGCATCCATCCTGAGGCCCAGTACAGAGCAGATGCCCCCAGCATCCACCCTGGGACCTGGTTCCGAGCAGATTTCCCACCATCCGCCCCAGGGCCTGGTAAAAAGACAGTGCCCCAAGCATCTATCCCAGGGCCTGGTACAGAGCAGGTGGCCCCACATCCACCATGGGGCCTGATACAGATATCTCATATCCATCCCAGGGTCTAGTATAGAGCAGGTGCCCCCAGCATCCACCCTGGGGCCTGGTACAGAGCAAGTGCCTCCAGCGTCCACCCTGGGGCCTGGTACAGAGCAAGTGCCCCCAGCGTCCACCCTGGGGCCT